CAAGGACAACAGCAGTGAACATCCTACACGGAAAAGTGAAATCTCGTGTGGCCTAACCCTAGACAAGAGTTACAGGCAGTGGAGGGATGATGAGAGCCTGCCTCTGAGGACAAGCCTCCTAACTGGTTATTCAATACCAAGAGGCCAGCCCTGAAATCATATGCATTCAAGCAGCACTGAATGACTCAGTCAGTTGTATTTATATATTTGTGTGTGTGTGTGTGTGTGTGTGTGTGTGTGTAAACAATAACACTTAAAGAGGCCAGGAATTTGAGAGTTAGTGATGGGGTTAGAGGGAGGAAAGAGAATGAGGGGAGTGATATATTTTAATTTTAAAAATTATGAAGTTCTAATAAGACACTACTCACAGATACTTAGGTTTTAGGTTAAAAAAATATATCAGCATCTAAGATGGTTTTGTTTTCTTAAAAAAAAAAAAAAAGATTTTTTTAAAACATTGTATGTCTGTGTGTTTGTGCAAGTGAGTTCAGGTGCCCATAGAAGCCAGAGGCTTCAGATGCCCAGGCTGGTTTTGAACTCACAGAGATCCACCTGCCTTTGCCTTCTGAGTGCGGGGATTACAGGTGTGTGTCACCACTGTCTGACCCATCAGTAATTCTTGTTGCAGGAGATCTAATGTCATCTCTAGCTTCTTTGGGTGCCAGGCATACATATGGTATATGTATAGACATTCATGCAGGCAAAACATCCATATACATAAAATGAAATATTTTTTAACACTAGCAAAATTATTTCTTTTTCTTTTTCTTTTGCTTTTTTTTTTTTAGACAGATTTTACTATGTAGACCAGGCTGGCCTCAACCTCACAGAAATCTGCCTGCCTCTGTCTCCTGAGTGATTAAAAGTATATATCACCATATTTCAAAAGCAAACATTTATGAAAGCCAACCATGCACGAAAAAGCAATAAGAGGATCAAATAATAAAATAAAGTAATTTTAACAGATATGACTACCCAGGTGAATAAAGCTGTCCCTCCAAAACCTTAGGTTATTAAATGAAAACCCCAGGATTAGAGATAGGCTACTCCCTGTGAGTTGTTGGACAGGGAGGCCTCTGACCCTCAACACACACACGCACACACACACACAACAAGCAATTGCCATTGCTGCTGGGTTTCCACCGGAACGAAGACCTTGCTGCCAAAGGTGACTCGTGCTTTGGTTGCCGGATGTACTAAAATCAGGCTGGTATTAAGAAGCACCCTTCCTGCTCGCTAAATGCTAAACCGCATAGTGCTGAGGTGCTCTGCAGGCTGCTGGGGGAGAATTGTCACCAGCATTGTTATTTAGCGGTGGACACTGTTGCGATAACACCTACTGGCCGGATAGTAGGAGCTCCCTGGTGCAACGGCAGCACGTCTGGGGAGCAGGTAACCAGCAGCTTTCAGATTGGATTTGATGTCATGGGAATGGCACCATAAATCTGGCTAAAACCTCTGGCTAGGGAAAAACAGCGACAACAGCAACCAAACAAAAACCCCTCTGGCTGGGGAGGTCATAGGCCCTGGCAGGGCACCTGCTGCATTGCCAAATGGACGTGGTGAGCCTGTGTAATTGTCTCCTGGATAACGTTTTGTCCATTGACCAGTAATGCTTTCAGTCTGGGTCAGAGAACTTTCTGCGTTGGTAAGCAGTGACTATAGAGGCAACTGGTCAAAGCTCTGAGAAGAGATGACTGTTGAGTGCTCAGTGACAAATAGGACATCTGTACCACCATTTACCACTCTACCCAAAAACCCAGGGAACACTGACAAAGAAGGGGCAGAAAGAGCGTAAGAGCCGAGGGAAAGGGATTGAAGAGGTAGGGAATGTTGATTTCTGAGTGTGGCTTGGGTGCTGCGCTCTCGAATTCGCAGAAGCTATGCCCCTGGCACACGATCTACACAGAATCGAGTACGCCAGTACTGTCCAAGAAAGGCAAGGGGTTCATGTGGCCCGACTCCCGCAGGTGCAGTTAATGGCTGATGGGGAAGGGAGAGATGTTTTCTTCAGTGCGCAGACCCTGGGAAGCTATGCATGCTTCTGTAAACAACCCTAAGGAAACCCACTGGGATTCGAAAATTAAAAAGGCCTGAAAGTGGAAGGCAGGGGTATGGTAGACGTTTTGATTGTGTTACGCGGATTTTTGTTGTAGCCCCAAGTGTGGGATTCAGGAATGCTTTGTCCATAGCTGATAGCAGCTCCTGAGAGGAATGTCTTTTGTGGATGTAGCAGCTGTCAATAAAGATCTGATTGGCCAATCAGCTGGGCAGAAGAATAGGAAGTGGAAGGCGGGACTTCTGGAACTCTGGGAAGGGAAGAGAGAAAAGCTTTTGTCTGGTTGTGGGTTCTGGGAGGATAGCTGGGCATGTGGCTATGTGGCTGGGTGAGGCAAGGTGGACAGAACTTAGGTGAGATAATTTAGTGTCTGCCTAGCTAAGGCCTAAGTTTTAAAAATTTAAAAGGTCTTGGTGTCTTTATTTTTATCATTTAAAGGCTGCCCTCGGGCTTAGGTTTTTTTCTTCACCAGGAGATATAACCCATTATCTACAGTGCATGATCATTGTCCGCTGATTAAAACCCTCATAAGAGGGCCCATGATCCTTGTCTAAAGGAAACTGCCACAGGGGTGTGGTTGTTTCCAGCTGAAAAAAACAAAAACAAAACAAAAAAAACCCATCCTGTACGGACTCTGAGAAGGTATAAATTGGAGCCCACCGACACAGAGAGATTGCTTTGCATTGCCTCGCTATACTTCGCTTCACTCCTACAGAGAAAAGCTCAGAGAACTCTTCTTGCTGCTTCTGCTGAATTGTGTTGCTGCTACTGACTGATACTGCTGTTTGGCGCTGGTTCCTGTTTGCTATTTGTTGATCATGAAGAGAGGAATTGCCCCCAGAAACTTATTCTAAAAAGGTCAACATTCCCTGTCCCTACTAACCTTTCTCTGCTACCTAAGATTGGGGGTTTGAAGGGAGGTAAAGGCGTTTACAAATACTAAATAAAGTAGGATTTACAAAATCAAAGCCTACAGGTGGAGCCTTACGTTGGGCACCAAAATGTTAGTTATTTTTATTAAACTGTTTGTTTCTCTTAGTTACTTTACCTGGCTATCACACAAATAATTGAGACTTCATTATATTATTTTAACAAGTTTCACAGCACAAGAACTGAGCAGTTATTACTTTATTCTTAACCCTCTAAGCTAATTTGGCTTCCTCCCAGAATATATACGAGAGATACTTTCACTTTGTAGCTTTCTTTGCTGGCCCCTCCTGGACATCTACCCATGCCTGAATCCCCTACTTCCTCCTCTAACTCCTTCTCCTCTGTCAGTCAGGAATCCAGCCCTATTCTCTCCCCTGCTTAGTGACTGGCTGTAAGCTGCTTTATTTGCATATCAGGAGAATATTGGGGAACAGTGTTTACACAAAATTGAGACAGAAGATTTTTAGAACAAGGATTGCACCAGTAATGTGGAGTACAGAAATCAGCATTTGAATTACACAATAATTTTATGCCTACATAGGGGATAGTTGGGAAGAGGAAAGGGATTAGGAGTTGGGGGGGGCAAGAGGGAATAACAGGATGAATGGGCAGAGAATGTGACCAAAATACATTAAATACAATATGAAAATGTCATGATACAATCCATTATATATGACTGATATATAATAATAATAATAATAATAATAATAATAATAATAATAATGATGATGATGATAAACATTTCAAAAAGATCTCTTCCTCCCTTTTTATGGTCTTCTGTTTTCCTGATCTTACAGATACACACACACTTTAAACCTAGATTCCTCATTTGAGAAAAAAAATAAAATAAAAACGTAATAGTTGTTATTCTGAGTCTGGCTTAAATTTCATATTTTCATGTAATTTTATTTATAGTTAACTTGGGATTTCCTAAGTATTTTATTTTATTTGTGACAGGGTCTTGGTATATAGTCCAGATAGGCCTGGAATTTATAGCAAATTTCCTGTCTTAGTGTCTAGCAGGCTGGTGTTAAAAGTATATACCACTAAGCTCTGAAGAATTTTGTATTCTTTTTAAAAATAAAGTTTCCTGTGGGGTGCTGTGGCATACTCCTGTAATCCCAGGACTCTGGGAGGCAGAGGCAGGTGTATCTCTGCCTAGTCTACAAAGCATGTCCAGAACAGCCAAGGCTACGCAGAGAAACCCTGTCTTGAAAAACCATAAATAAGTAAATAGATAGATAATAAGTGATAAAGTTTCCCCATATTTTGTATGTCTTAAAATAGTCAAATATTGCATTATCTACAGTAGCAAGAAATTTCCTTTTAATGCTAGATGAGAATAGACACTGTTCTATTCTCAGGAAATATTGCTGAAGAATTATGGTTAATTTTAATTTATTTGAACTCTAACTGAAATCCTTTATTTGGAATATTAGCTTCAGGTTGCCTACCAAGGGCTCAATGAAGAGGATGCAGCATGTTTTGTGTTCAAAATTGTGATTTTTCTGAAGAGATTTTGAATAATGCAAACCAGCAAGGATTGCTAATATACTAAATAGAGGAAGTCCAAACTACAACTTTTCCCATTTTTTTTCTTTGAAACTAATTTTGTAACATACTGTTTGTTGAACTTCCTCCTTTAAAGATAATATATTCACGTGGGGGGTGTTTTTCGCGCTGAATTAGTTCTTGGGTGGATTTGAACCCATTGAAGAGAGAGAATTTATGTAAATGGCGAGGTGGGCTGTTCTCTGGAACAGCCTGCCTGTCAAGGCACAAATGTCTGTAAACACGGACGGTGAAGCAGGGTCTTTTTCAAGATCGTGGCTATAGGATAAAAATGTCAAAATGTCTTCAAGAGAATCAGTTCTTTAGGCTTTCTCTCTCTCTTTCGTTTTTCCTTCCTCACCTCTCTCTCTCTCTCACTTTGTTGCCCAGGTGTCTCAAACTTCTAACGTGACCCTCCAGCTGGGTGACACTCCTGAGCAGCTAGGACTGCAGACGGCACCGCCACGCTCAGTTCTCTGGAGACATCCTGACCTAGAATCTGTATCACTCCCAGCAAGGTAGGTTTTAGTTTTTGTTCCTTCGCTGCTTTCTGGCAGTGTTGTGAGGACACAACACAACACAAGCACCTACCGGGTGCTTCTCCTGCAGAGAGCAGTGCTCTCCGTGTTGACAGAGCTACCGGAGGTCTGAAGCGGTCTGGAGATCAGCACTTCCCTTATGGGAGCCAGCACTTCCTCAGACCTGGGAAGCAGTGCGCTCTGCTTCTTCCTCTAAAAGAAAAACGTGAGACCTGTCTGGGCGGCTGGACGGGTTCTGAACCAAAATGCCTGCTTGATGGGCAGAGGTTTGCTGTAATCGGTCATCGGTCGATTTTATCTGCAGGAGGCTTTGGGGCGAACGGTCCAGGGAGAAGATAGGTGACTCCAGTGTCTGTCTTCTTGCCTGCTGGGGTGCGACAGGTGTCACCCAGGCCTCTGTGCTCACTGGGGGGCCGTGGAAAGCTGAACTCACTTGGGTAGAGCCATACCTTCTGCCTTTTCTCCGGGAAGCCAAGGGGAGAGGTGAGTGCTGCCTGAACGTGACGGAGTGGAACGGTCTCCAACCAAGCTGACCACAGTTTATGTTCTGGTTAGCCTCTTATTTGTTACATTTGAGCTGTAGCCAAATTTCTTTGTTGAGAAAGGAAGGCGCTAGGGCCCTGGAGGGAGATGATGGCTTTGTTGTGTGACCGCAGAAGCTAGTTTCATACTAATTTCCTCCCCAGCTTGTGATGAAGTCAGTAAACCACAGCCTCCACAGCGAGCTGCGCTCAGGCAACAGCAGCGGCTTTTGGGTCTGGGCCAGGACACATATCTGACATGCCCTACCTTAAACTGCTCACAGACTCTCGCTCTGAGGCATGGACCAAAGAGAAATTCTGCAGCAGTTACTGAATGAGGCCCAGAAAAAGAAGATTAACAAGGAGGAATTTGCCAATGAATTTCTGGTGAGTTCTGTAGTGTTCCCAAGAGTAGCTGGTTGAATTGTTTGACAGTCTGTCGTGGTCCAGCCTGTTTAGACTCAACTGCTGTAGGGACACCGTGAACACCAGAGCCTGGCAGAAAGGAGGGAGACAACCGAAAAACGTAACTTCTCTGGGTTTTGTTGTGTTTAGAGTTTTCTCCAGGTATGATGATTTTTGTGTTGGGTTTGCTGGTTCTTTTGAACTTAACAATCCTGTAGAAGGTATGTACAGGTGTGTGAGTACTAATGCTTTTTGAGCATCTGGAGAAAGCATTTGCATTATGAGTTATGCTTCAAATTACTAATGTTAATTGGTACCAAAAAAGAAAGAGACTAAGAGTAACTTTTCATGTAGGGTGATATTTTTAGATGACAGGTTTTTGAAGAACACCAAAACTATCACCCGGTGCTTTTTTTTTTTTTTTTTTTACTCCTTTCTCCTTTGTAACAGCAAGTTGACTATTAGAGCAAGCACTTTGTTTTTTGTTTTTTCCTTTTTTTTTTTTTTACGATAACTGGGTTTCTTTAACTTATTTTGTCTGAAGAAGTAGACTGGGTAGAGGGGGGAGTAGAGACAAGTGAGGACCATGGAGTACAAGTTACCGTGGGAACAGGGAGACTGAATGATCCAGAAGAGCAATGAATCTCCTCCAAGGGAGCCAGAGTTGCCAATGGAATGAAAGCGGGGCAGGCCATATTCACACAGGGCGTGGTACGTGAGACACCTGCATGATTTTGGTTTTTTTATTTTACTTGTATCAATGTGTAGCTCTGTCCAGCTTAGAACTCTCTATGTAGATTATGCTTGGCCTCAGGCTCACAGAGATCCTCCTGCCTCTGCTTCCTGAGTGCTGGGATCAAAGGCGTGTAATACCACACCAGCCTGTTGTGTTTTGAAATGCTTCTAGGTGGTGTTCCATAACCATAAGAATGTTAAGCCTTAGCCCTTCAGCTTTGAATTGAGGAAAATGAAGAAAATTGTTTTGGTCATCATTCAAGTTATCAAGTATTTAACATGCTCCCGAATTACCCTAAATCTTTGTTGTTTTCTAACTTACAAACTGAGGATAATAATTTATGTCCTGTCTGTCTTCGTCGGATTACTGTGATGATTACACATCAGCAATTATAATAAGTAAATGAAAACAAGGTAAGAGGGAGGTGCCTAGAGGCCCGATTACTTGGAAGGCTGAGGTGGGTTGAATCGTTAAGTTCAAGGCTAGCCCAGGCAACTTAGAGGGATGTCTCAAAAAGGGGATCATTCAGTAATATTTATTGAGCATTTACTCTGTACCAACCTTGTTCCTTCACTCCAAGATACAATGCTAAATAAAACGTCTTTGTCTTCTGGACCAGACAGTAGATGAGAAAACACTCGCTGAGCGTCATGATTAGGTATCACAGGAGGCCTACCATCTAGCAGGTCAGCTTTGATGCTATGATATTCTGCCAGCTCAACTTGCATAAGGTCATGGTGTTATAAAAATCTACTCTTTCTGCCACAAGTCCTCAGGGTAGATTTGCCACGGGGTGGAGTAGCCCACGTGTCTGCTTAGATGCGTGTCTGCCTTTTGACTGTGTTCTTGAGCCAATTTGTCAAGATATGGAGGGGAAAGGGAGCTGAGAGGCAGTGCCAGCTTTGTCTTATTTTGGTTATGTTTCTCAAAACTGAGCAGACTGTATCTCTAATCTTTAACCTCTTTTAGAGGTCATTGTAATCTCTCACCAAACTGAGGCAGCCGCCTCTTGACTGCTTTCTCCGTTTCCAGCCTTTTCTTCGGTTAGTTTTCTCTAGATGTCCTGGAACTCGCTATGTAGGCCAGGCAAGCTTTGAACTCACAGAGATCCACCTACCTTTGCCTCCTGAGTGCTGAGATTAAAGGTGTGCACCACTATGCCCGGCCCCTACGTGGCATTTTAATAACTTATAGCCTGGTTGTGTTTTTCTCAGCTTAAGAATTTTTTGTAGCTTGTGTTTGTTAACTACTTGTGGTTATGAACTGTGGTATATATTTAGAAAACTACACAAAATGTGTGAATACAGTTCTAAAGGGACCCCTTGCCAATGTAGTCGCCACTCAGATCAAGAAATACGGAACTGTCAAACTCCAAAAGAACCACAGCTGTCCCTTCTGCAGCAGGCCTCTCCACACACCTCACCCCACCCCACTAAAGGGTAAATCACTGTCCTGGCTTTAGAGTACTCATTTCTTTGCTCTTCTAGCTCCTGATTTTTTTTTAATAAAGCCTTGTTTTGGGGCGGTGATTAAGTGGAACCTCACAGTTCACTGACTCATGTCCTCCAGTGGAAAAACAAGCGTTTCACCCTCAGCTCCACCTAAAGGTTCAGCTGAGACACCAGATGTAGCTTTGGGGAGATGGGTTGTGGGAAAGTGGGGCCAGATTCCCAGCTCCGCCCAGGGACATGCTGCCGTTCAGTGAGAAACTTTTCCATCTGGCTACTGCCACGTCCACCTTAAGTTTTTGATGTTTTCTCAGGACTTGTTTATGAGATTTCAGAACTGGTTCTTTGATACAAAGCTGCTGCTAACTGCCTTCGTAGCAATTGTCAAATGGCATTTATACTTATGTGTCAATTTCCTGTGTGACAACTGCCCTCCTACAGAAAAAACAAAACAGTCCAAAACACAAAGCCTAGTTCCTTAGCTCAGATTTCGGTCCCCACTTCTCTTTTGTTGTTGAGTCTTTTATTGTTTTGTTTCATTTTGTAGCTCTGGCTGTCCTGGAATTTACTGTGTAGACCTGGCCGGCCTCAGAGATCTGCCTGCCTCTGCCTCTCATGTGATGGGATTAAAGTCTTGCCCAAGTACACCCTATTCCTTTAAAAAATGTTTATGTTTTATGTGTATGAACATTGTTTTGCCTATGTGCATATATATGCATTTTGTGCCTGCCCAGTGCCTATGGAGTCCAGAAGAGGGAGCTGGATCCCTTGGAACTGGAGTTACAGGGGGTTGTGAGCCGCTGTGTGGGTGCTGAGAACTGTACCTGGGTTCTCAACAAAAGCAGCAAGGGAGCCATCTACTGAGCCATCTTTCCAGACCCTTCTTTTGTTGTTTTTTTTTTTTAAAAAAATGAAAATCCCAACTGTTCTATTTTACCAATTAAGACTCAGGGGCCAGATGCTGGGGTGAAAACTTGCTAGCTCAGAGATGCAGAGAAAGCACCCAGCTGACCTTCCTTCTCAGCTCAGGTCCAGATGGAAAAGACACAAAAGGCTCACTACCTCAACTGACAGCCCAGGAGGAAAAGGCCAAAAAGCCTAAGGCCAAAGTCTTGCTAGCTCAAAGCCTAAAAAGCCAGGGAGCTGAGGAGCTGAAGCCTAAGCAAAAGCCAGAGCTTAAGCTAAAAGCTCTTTCCTGTTCTCCACTCTGTCTTAAATTAAATATTCCTCAACTCAAAGTCTCTCCTATTCTTTAATCCCTGTCAGCTGGTGTCTTGTTCTGCCTCTTAATCTAGGGTTAACTTTATTAAATCCTGTGTACAGAAAGCTCCTGAATTAAAGGTGTGTTCGAGGGCTGGTGAACTACACTATAATCACCTGTTTATAATAAAAGGTTCTTGGATTAAAGGTGTGTGATAAGGCTCAACCACACCAAAGAAACAGGGTTTTACAGTTCACAATTTTGGGGTTCACAGTAGAATCAAATATCCTGCAACATTCTTTCTTTTTACATTAAAAAAGGCAAAACAATGTGTGTGTCTGTGTGTGTGCTTCTCTCTGTGTGTCTCTGCGTGTGTTTATGTGTGGGTTCACACACATCCATGTAATATAGCAAGAGTATGAAAATGAGAGAACAGCTGGGGGAGTGAGTTTTCTTCCACCGTGTGGTTCCTAGGGCTTGAACTCAGGCCATCAGGCGTGACATATCTTTCTGTACTGCACCATCTCTCTGACTCTCAGTTCTAGCTTCGCCTTTGGTTGGGTAACCTTGTGAGTAAGAGTACAGCATTGGTGATTGATTTGCCAGACCTGCTGTGACAGCAGATAAGTGCCATGCTGCTTGTGTCTTTTCTTAACGCCAGTGCTGTTTTGTATGTGTGCTGTTTGCTTTCTCTAGCCTTAGCCATGCCTTGTGGTCCTCTTATCCTGGCTAGCATTTAATGGTTGTTTCTATCTAAATCTGGTAGTCATGTCCTAGCTTTTTGCTCTCCTCTCCTCTCCTCCTCTTTCTCCTTGACTCCTGATGGTGGAGCTTGAACCCAGAGTCTGGCACATAGCCAAGCGAATGCTCTACCACTGAGCTATGTCCTCAGCCGTGAGACACTTTCTTTTTTCCTTTCTTTTAAAATATTATTTTAAATGTACGAGTGTTTTGTCTACATGTGTATTTGTGTATCAGGTGCATGTCTGGTTCCCATGGAGGCCAGAATACAATGTTGGGTCCCCTATAACTAGAGTTAACAGATGGTTGTCAGCTGCCATGGTGCTGGGAATCAAACTGGGATCCTCTGGAAGAATGGCTAGTGGCCTTAAACTGCTGAGCCATCTCTCCAGCCCCAAGGAGCCTTCTCAACCTACCTGAATAGATCAAAGCATGTGTGATAAGTACTTGTTAATATGATCTATACTTTTTTATAGCCCTTCCCACAATTTCAATTTGTAGCGTATTTGCATAATCAGCTTTCTTATCAACTTGAACCTTCACAAAGGCAACATTCATATTCTGCTCTGGTCATATTGGTACCCTCCATACTTTGTAGACTGTTTAACATACAGTAAATGTGAGACATAGACAATGAAACAGTTTGCTGAAAGACATACAGTTCTGGGCTGGCAAGATGGTTCAGTAGGTAGAGGCACTTGTTAACCAACCTGATGGCCTAAGTTGGATCCCTGGAATCCACAGCGTAGGAGAGACCTGACTCCCGTAAGTTGCCCTCTGACCTCCATGCATGTGCCGTGGCACACGTGCCCTACCTCCTACTGACTAAACAAGCACACGAATGTAATTTAGAAAA